TATCTATTAGTAAAAGCAGTTCGTTACTTTGCACCTTGGGTAATCACATAATTCTCAATGTTCTTGGTTGACTGCCTCCACCATGTGGCCACGATGCAGCATTACATGTAAAACTAGGAGCGCACATACAGCAACTCAATACCACACATGAACGTCTGGTTCTAATATAGATATTAAAAGTAATCAGGAAGTGGTCTTGTAACATCGATGATTCGTCTGTCATAAATCACAGTTAAAAGAAAATTCTGGATCAGCCCCTTAATCAACATCCCCACTAAAAATGTCATGACTTCTTCCCAGGCCCCATCCCTCCAGCAAGTTCGGTGGAAACTAATTCTGTGGTTTTTGTGTAATCATGCTAAAAAATAAATCATAGACCAACTCCTTGCTGAGGATGATTAAATAAGTGCAACTCTGATAACATGATAAGCTCAAACCACCAACATACGTTTAATACTGTTTCATGCAAATCAAATAGTTCCACTTAAACAAAATGTCATGGCACATAAAATAAGATAAATAAACACAAACAAAACACAGTTTTTCATTGTATTAGTTACTATAAAGTCAATCATTTTCGAAACACCCTTCAAGGATAATATAACTTTGATATGGTCCAACGCAGGGAAACAAATGCAGGTACTAAAGCTTAGGCTGGTGAGCGTAAATTGAAAGAGTGTAAATGAAACAACAGGTTCATTGTTTCATGTCAAAGTCAAAGTGAACTTCATTGTCATTCAGACCGTACAAGAAGTGCAAAGCGGAATGGAATTGTTTCTCCCAGCTCCATGCGCAAACATATGAAGACAAGTACACTTAACACAACACTAACAGACAGAATAGACATGTCATTTCACAGTGGTTGGATTATTACAGAGTTACAGTAAATGTAAAGCTGATACTGGTGAATATTAATAAGTTGATTGAGGGATGAAGCATTGAATTACTGCACAAAAAATAACAGCATTTTAAAAGATATGAGATTATGGGAGCAGAATATGTGTGTGTGTGTCTGTGTGTTCAACACGTATCAGGCCAACATATCTGTGTATTATTAAAGGGAACTGTGCAGGAAAACAGCAAAGAAAGACGGACTAAATACATGAATAAAAACTGAACTGAGAGACAAGGGAAATACATATGTTGAACTTACAGAGACAAAGGTTCACAAGCGAGGCTGCAGGGATCATTGAGCACAGGTGAAACACATGAGGACAAGTGCTGAGGATCACAAGGGCAGGAAACAGGATAAGACAGAAAGTGAATCAAGGCACACACAAGGAAAGAAGTTTCAAAATAAAACAGGAAATGAAAAAATAAAAGGGCAAACAAAGAGAAATCCAAAAGTCCAAAAACAAGTAGATACTGAATTAATAACAGTTTCTCATTAGTTCAAAATAAGAGCAGTATCATAGCCGGCCCTGCTTCACATTCACACAGTGTCAAACAGGATGTACCTAAAATATTCAGACTATATGCTTGTTTTACTTCTTGAAATACTCCCCAAGTAATGCTATGTTTGCCCAGAAAGTACAACGCCCAGCTGGTTTAGCATTTGAAAAGAAAAAACAAATACACACACACACATGCATGCACACACACCACACCCAGTTTTGCACATGGACAGCCGTACAAAACCCTATCCCTGACCTTAACCATTAATATTTTATGCCAAACTCTAATCTTAACCCATACAATTCCCACCTTTTATATAAATATATTTATATGTGTTTGCGTGTGTAATGTCTCTCTGAGTACTTGATATGTTATAAAACTGATGTTTCTGTGATATTTGCTGCGCGCTGCATTGCTTTTACCAACTTGCAAATGAGCACACAAATTTGTATTTTCCATTCACAACACATTCAGTGCATCTCACACAAGCGCAGTGGAGGATTTCCTTAACATAAGTCGAGCTTTAATGTTCTTTACTATAGTAAAGATCTATAGATCTCCAGTCGTTTTTTTTCAGCCATGTCACTTCTTGTCACACTGTTTGGTCATGTGATCTCTGCAAACATACCACACCTGAGATCTGTCTCACAGCTTCCCCTCTTAAAAAACGAGTTTTGAATCAATAGCTATTTTAAAGAATTTGGTTATTGAATATTGTAATATAAAATACAGCTAACAAATGAAACCATTCAATACCATAAAAGAGTCGGAAATGTTGCACGAGTGGTGACAGTGTAGGTCTTGTACTATAGAGTGATATGTTAATATATGTGATCTTCACCTAGGGCAACGTCACAGTGTTGCTCCACCTCCCTGCTGACGCACTACAGTGTATTTAACATTTTATCTCTCTTTCGTCATAGAAGAAACAGTGCCAGGCTCTCTCACACCCAAGGTATCAAGGTAAGCAACAATAAATCAATAAAAGGTATTGATGGTAAATCCTGCTCATTTGATTTTGTTCATTCGTATGCTTCTGTTCTTCAAAAGCTAAAATATGACTCAGTAGAATTTCCTTGTTACAATGAGTGTGATGAACATTTCTGTGTAACAAGTAGTCGATGTTTGTTGAGGTTCATATATTCTGAGCTCTATAGACACAAGTTAACAATAACCTTCTGAGCTGAACTAAACTTGTATGTTCATGTGTGTTTTGTGCTTTGTGGTGGGGGGGAAAACTACTGTAAACCTGTTTGTGTATTTTTTGTTGTTATGTGTGTATCCACTGACAAGTGAATTTGTTTTTTTATGTCAAACAGAAATTAAGTTTAAGGGGCAATGTTTTGATTAAATTCACCATTGACTTTGAATCTTTAATCATGAGAGGAGACTTCAACTGAGCAAGTATGCATGACTGGAATAAGAGCAACAGGTCAATCAAACAGGTTGAACGAGCTGTGCCATCTTACTGCATTTTAAACCCTGTGGATTACTGAAAGTATTCAGCCTGTGTTGCTGGACTGGATGCGTCATACGGTGTCCAAGGGAGCTGAGTTCTTGCAATTATAAAAAAATACAAGCAAATTAAGAAAACACCCTCGTGCCTTTGACGACATGTAGGTCACTTTTATAAAAAACACCACGAATAAATCCCTGTCAGAAATACATTTTCCAATTGTACAATACATATGCAACACACAGAAATGCAGGCAAAGAGAGAAATTGTGACACAAACAGCTGCTGAGTTTATTCACTCGAGGTGATGGTGTTGTTTTAGGTTTAACATTCGGATTATTCAGCATGAGGCTTAATATTTGAACTTGAAACCTGAATGAAAACTCATATGAAGTTGGAATCTTCTTAAAAAATGAATTGGTGCTTCTTGGATTTAGATCTCGCTTTTTTTTTCTAATTGTGTGGGAGTGATATTATTGGAGATAACATTGGAGGCACAGAATCAGATATTAGTGGAAGTAATGATTTTACATGTCAAACGTTAGCCTTTAGCATGTTGCTGTTACCGCTTCATAGGGTCCCAATGAAACCTCCAAAGGCCTTTTTTTTACAGCAGACATTCTGACCTGTCATTGCAAAAAACTGAATGACCCTCAGTAGGAAGCATACTTCTGCCAAGTCCCCAACAGTACCCAACATGTTTGAATTCTCAAGATTCTGATCTTTATGTGGATCAACACAAATCATTGCACAAACTCAAAATGTTGAAAAACACCAAATCTGACAATGTTTAAGAAAGTGGCAAGTGATCCGGATCTGCACCAAAATGTCTCTCCCACTTCCCCCAAGTTCCGTGATAATCCATCCAGTAGTTTTTGTGTAACCCTGGGAGCTAACTTACAAATGTAAAACATAACCTCCAATTGGCAGAGCAATGACTACATTAGATTAAGGTGAGCTACTTCCAGACCCCCTGTTTACTGCCTTCCTGGGATGTCTGATACAACTGAGCTATCATAATAAAAAAAAAATTCACATGTTGTTTTCCATCTATGACAAATGACAATAGGTTATAAACAGGTCTGTTGTGTTTATATTTTTGTTGTGAACCTGCCAACATCTTACCTCCACCATACCCAGAGTACAGATGATAATCAACACGTTTCTCACCAAGGATTGTTCACATCACAGATGACACTGCAATCCAATCAGTCAACACTTTGTACATAATAACAGGGGGGTTGTTGGCACATTCTCTGGACACTCTCAAGTACAAAACATTCCTCTTCCATTGGCGTAGTAAAATGTGGAGATGAATAAAACAATTGACCTACAGAGAAGGGATCTTGAGGTTATGACAGAGTATTACAGCCATAGTGGGGAGAGATCGAGTCACTGTTTAATAAAAGAT